GAGTTCCTCACTGGAGGTCTCTGGCGTATCCCTCGACGTTGCTTCCATCGTTTTTCGGTTGCATGGGCAAGGATGGGCGGTGTGCATGTGGGTCCCGTATCCCACGCGCGGATCCCTGCCCTGACTGGCCATTTGGAGAATCCATGCACCTTTCGATTCTCCCCAGTCACCATCAGAAGGCCCTTGCCTGATAAATCGGCCTGGATGGCTTCGAGAACATTACTGTGTAGAAAGCCACTAGCTACAAAAGGAACGGCGGAATCGGTGTCGCCTCGGAGCGAAAGCCCATGTTTGGCAGCGAAATACCAATATGAACCAAGCTCTCGACAACAGCCGCTCCGTCTGCCCCCCGCCGCACAGCATACAGAGCACGCTTGTGTTTGTAGCCGCACGCGGAAAGAATACTCTAGCGATGCGCGGTAGATACCGACAGTGACTAGGGTGCACGAGTCGCAACTCTGGCTCTCCTCCATCGCGCTCAGCCGGTCGCCGTCACTCATCACGCCCCTGTCAGATTTTTCGGTGGACCTGGGGGAGGGGGGGGGGGAACGACGACGACGAAAAGACCCGGACGTCGCGCGTCGACTCGTCAACGGTTGGCTAGCTTGCTCCTCTCCGGCCCCACCCTTCAGAGACTTTAGTGAGAAAGTTAGAGCGCCCGGCCGGGACCACTCGGTCGCGTATCGCCTCTAGGCTCCACCAGCCAAGAACTCAACTGACTCTGAACAGACTCATTTCATGGCCAAGCGCTATCGCTCGTGACAGTCGCTATGGCGAGACCGTCGCACGAGGCTTCTCGAGCGTGTGTGAGAACTGACTAATACGTAGGCGTTTGAAGTGAATGCGATGGGCGCAGTCTGCGTCTCGGGAGGCGGATCGCTGGACCTTCTTTTTCCTCAATCTGTGAAATTGTAGTGACCACGTGCCCTGCAAGAAAGCCAGTTTTGATATGATAGGCAGCCGCAATGTCGTCAGAGATGACACTACCTAGGCAGTAAACAGCCATTGTGCGCTTGAGATTCCCAGCCACCACACTGCCGTTATAGGGGAAGCAACTGAAGACCTCGATCTCGAGCAAACTGCGATAGGTACCGCGTTTGCGACTCTGCACACTGGCCAGTACCCCCACCGGGAAAGCTGCACCACTCAGCTAGCAGCAAATCCGCTGTGAGTGCCCGGCAAATGTGCGTGGTGCGAAATCGCATGCGTTGCTTGGCGGGCAAGGCGCAGATAGGCGGACAGCCGACGAAAACCAGCAAAATGATCGCGAATTGCCCAAGAACATTTGCGTTATTTCTGCAGTTCTCCGATAGCGCCCAGCTCGGTGTCTATGGTTTGCGTACTGCTTCCACCATCGGCTCAGGACCTCCTGTGGTGCGACTCGCTAGCTTGTGTTCCACCGCCGTACGCGTCCAAATCACCTCTGCCAGGTCACGCTTTGTGATGGGAAGTTATGGGAGTGCAAAAGCTAAACGTGAGACCCGAACATGAGGCCTGAGATGCACGAGGGGGTTGATGATAGTGCACTGCGCGCCGACATCGACGCACAGCCCTTGTTGCATACTTCCCGACGCCCTGGCTGGGTGAAACAGGTCACCCCTGCAATTCCCAGAAGCCCTGCCCAGCAGTCGATGGCACCCGCACCTAGCAGGCTTTCGACAGGCACCCGATTTTTCTGGAACATCTGTGATCCTGGGATACCTGACTTGGGCCAGGACCCCTGTCCAAATGCGGCAACTTTGCAACGGTGTAGGTAACAAGGAATAAAACAATAAGGGGTGTGTTCAAGTCAGACGTTGATGTTTCGATGTCGACGTCTATCACGACAATGGCGGTCCTTGCGCACATATCCGACATAATAATACTGCCCGTGTAGCACGAAGCCCCGACCACGGACACGTTGGGTGTAAAGACCGCCGCAAAACAGCGTCACTAGACGCCCGACACTGGTCATGAAATACGACATCTTCCCAGACGCGCCACGTTGTAATAGGCCTGGTGGATAGTGTGATGTTTGTAATGGGAAATGTGTGAAGACGAAACAGAGTGCGACTTACCGAATCGTGGCCGGGCTCTTCCTTATACTGGCCCGGGGCCTGACGATGAGCCATTGACAATCCCATGGATAATTATTACCCTTTGCGTAAAGGGCAACGGTGAATGTGTCTATAAAGGAAAATAGTTAATAAGGGATAGAACAAACATATGGCCCTACCGGTCTTCGGAAGCCATCCTGGACGCTGTGCTCTCCGTAGACAGATGTATATCCTTGCCAACGGATGTGTAGAGGTGGGAACGTTGAGCGACCGGCCTGGTGACAGCTGGACCATGTGCGGTAGTGGATTCACTGAGTACTCACAATGCTTTGTCTTGCCTTCGGTAGCTGAAGGGATCTTGATGGTAGATGCTAGAAGGACGCGACGGCGAACGGATACCTCCAAGGTAATGTGAGGCAGCCTGGGCAGTTCTCTAGTTGTTTCTTTGCCGTGAACCTAGCTCAGCGGGATGCACGGATGGTAATACTTGTTGACTAGGAGACAGGAGACGGATCTTACGCTGGCGTGAAGATTAGCAAAGCTGGGGAAAGGAAGACGTTAGCAAACAGTCTGTTGAATGTGCTTTGAAGAGCGGGTTTCTCGACTATTAAAAATAGTAATGAAGTGGCAGCGGCCTGGGAAATCAGACCGAAATTTCTAAGCTCAATGCATTGTCCGAGGGCCGCACTAGACTGGAACGTTGCCGAAATTGAAACGGCTTTGCCTTGGATTGCGCAGCCCCTTGCAAGAAAACGGTACGGCAATCTAGGGACCACCGCAAAGCCGGTGGAGAAGCTTGGAGGAGAAAAAAAGAGACACACACACACACATACCAATGTCGTAAATCGAGTTTTTCCGATTCTTGAGTTGAAAAACATACGCTCAAAGTAAATGCTCTGTGACCATTCAGGTCAGTGTCTGTTTTGCTTCGATTTAGTCGAAAGTAGTACAGTAGTCAATTCATGCTGCGACTTGGGAAACCAATTCAGGGGCAATCTGCCAGGGCCAGTGAGGTGGACAGCCCCTGCTGCAGCCACGTGCGAGGGCAGAAGGGTTATCATGCAGGTGGAACTGAAGCTTCAACTTTGTTACATACATGTACGTTCGTACCTTACCTTTCAACGAAACTTTGGAGGCAGCCGGGGTCTGTAGTCGGCTGTGACGCGCTGCACACGCTTATGTTGGTCTCTGCAGATACGTCACCTCTCGATGTCAACGCCGGAAGCGCTTTGTATTAGATTGCAGAGAATTGGAGCTGTGTCGGCTCCTTGGCCGAACATCAAATTGGTCGGGGCCGCTGTGGGTTTGAATGACCTTCACTAAATCGGAGCGTGGAATCCCTGACCCTGAATGAAATGTTAGATAAATTCGGTGATGTGCTTGGCTTTCTATATGCGGTGCATTGATCGAAATCGAAGTATTTGAACCTCCGCAATTGAGGGGATCGAATGGGGATTCGACGGAGACCGTAGGTTTGAAGGGACAGGTGTCAATAGCTGATAGCTTGTACTAGCATGTACCTGGATGAATGTCGAAAAAGATGACATACCAGTTCCCAGGTAAAAAGCCCGGGGCAAAAATCGGATGGAGAGGTCGTCTCAAGTGGATATTGTGGTATGGTGCGAAGTGGTGCGTCCAATTCGGGGCGGACCGCGATCAATGGTGATGTTGTACTATGTATAAAGCTGATATTGTATGAAAGGTTTGTAGACCTGTCACCGCGGGCACCAGGTTGCCGTCGAAAGCACGTTCGGATGGAGGTCGTTCGTGGGCGGAGCAAGGATGATCGCGGAGGCGACAGGGCTGGTAGCTCTGTGAGTTACACCGCAGTTAGAAATCAGTAAGATGAACAAGACGTGTGAATAAGCACCACTAGGACACCCATGAACCCAAAGTTATGCTCCAAGGTATAAGAAGATATTACGAATATCTCTACATGAAAGAGCAAAGCATGGGATGGTAGTTACCCAGATGTAGACAGCGAGGTTGTAGCCAAGCTGGGTACCTGGTGTTGGGTCTTCAAGGGCTATCGACGGGGAGCTTGCGGAACGGCATGGCAGGCGGGCCGGGATTAGGGTAGGGGACAAGCATCATGCCGCTGAGCCTGGAGAAACGCCACGGGAAAGGTGTCTGAAAGCACAGCCAGGTTCCAGATCGTGCCTGGACGACAAGTGAAGGCAGGAGTGCGCAATTGGAGCGTGGGGATGGTGGGATAGTGTCAGAAGCGCCCAGGCGCATATAGGGTTTGGATAAGAAACAACAGGCGATACCCGACACAGCCAGCAAGAGGTACAGCAGCGGGGATATGTCAACGACATCACGTACCTGAAGATTGTTCCGGAAAATACCAGTTGAAGCTAGAAAGTCGAGCGGTCGCTGGTGCGGAGTAGAAGCACTACGCTGGCTAATGTATCTCCTTTGACTTTGACTAGTGGGAGTCTGGAAGTCTGAAAGCTTGGAAAGTTGCTTGAAGAAGACGGAAGGGCTAGGGGGGATGCAGTGGTTCAATAGAATGGATGCGCGCACAATCTCGATGGTCGTGGACGTAGAGCTGAGTTTTTTTTCTTTTTTTTTCTAGCTCTGCAGCTTAGATTTGGTGCGAGGAAGAATACGTCTGTGGCAAAAGATGAAGCTCGAGGTACGTGTTGAGAGAAGACGGACCGAGGATTCAACAAATGGGCTTCCTCAGATATCGCCGGCCAGTCCCAACTGCGCCAGTAGGTAATCCATTTGCAAGGGGCACCTGCAGCCTAGCGCTCCTTCCCTCAGGGATGTGTGTCTGTGGGGAAGTAAAGACACGCTGCTAGACGCGAACACGTGAATGGGGTGACAATCGATGTCCTCAGATGGAAGCCTTTCATCGCTTCTTCTAAGCTTGGCTTTGATGGCTACTCGCTTCGAGACTGAACGTCGTTTGACAAGTAGTAGTGTAAATACAGGTACGCGCACGTTTGGATAGAAGCAATGAGCCCGTACGTCGGGCAGATTGCTCCGAGAAAACACGCGATGCTGTGTCCACCTGAGACGGATGAAAGCTCAAATACCGAACCGATAGGAGGTACGTAGGCCGAGAGCGACACTCGCCGAGAGCAAAATTATCATAGTGGCAGCGCTCCAGATTTTGTATTTATTGGACATGAGGGCACGGGTGAAAGAACCTGTGTGGTTGCCTTCACAAGTGCAGGGGTACAAAGTCCGTGATCGTCAGACAAACCTGCACAACGACTTTTTTTCGATGGTATAGAGCAACACATAAACCGAAATGAAGCCAATCCACATTGAACTTGTTAGCAACGAGTTCTCATAAGCACACGCGTGCAATGAGACAGGAACACTATCACTAACAGCTGGAAGGGACTACTTAGTTCTCGATGCAAACGGGATCCTCTGCAATGTTGCGTCAAAGGAGGGCAAATGCTGACAAGGATGCATTGGACAGTGATATTGTAGAAGCCGAGCCTGACTGTACTCATGGCCGGTATTTTCCAACACCGCGTAATCTTGTAGAAGGCGCTTTAAGTTCAGGATGTTTTTGGGGGGCATTTCCAAAAGACAGGCTTCCGAGACACAGTCCGGGGGCAAGGATATACCTACCTGTTTGCGACCGTTGGGCGGCCTGCATTAGGCTTGAGAAAAGACAGCCAGTGGAGGAACACCGACCCGCACATAGGGACCCTGAGCTTCATGGTACAGCAACCCTACGATGGAAGCTTCTGAAGCTTCTTCGAAGCCTGGGGTGAGTACCCTAAAGATGGTGCTTGTCAGGGAATTGTTGCGGCAAGGCGAATGTTGACTGGCTCGCAAGGGAACAACCCCCGTGCCCGTACTGGACCATGCATGAATCCGGCGCTCTTTACCCTGGTTCTCGAGACGTCCGGGAAAAGGTGTGATGGAAGAAAGGGGTGAAGAAGGACAAATTACATTGAAGAGAGGTGCCGGCAAGCTGTTGTCTGCCAGGCACACCAGCAGGGTGGTTGGACAGACAGACAACTAGGATTGAGCATGGTTTCAAGAAAGCAGCCAAAGCAGCGGGTGACAGGGCAACCGTTCAAGCGAACGCATGGAGACAAGACATGGAGGATACCCATGAAAGTCATCCATGGACGCCAGCGTGGGACTGGGATGGGGGATGGATGATGGGAAAGGCGTGTTTGAATCCCAGCTTCCCCCGTGAACCCTGCTCTGGCATCTCCGTCTGGAACACAACGAGGCATGCCAAGGCGAACCCAATAAAAAAAGAAAGAACAAATAAAAAGAAAGAAAAAAGATAAAGCAAAAAAGGTCCAGGAAACTCGAAATGATGCGTTTCATTCCTTGAACTGTTAATGTGGTTGACAACGAATTATTGGATGGTAATTGGAGGAAACATTTGGTTGTGCAAAGGCCCAAGAGGAAAGATTCCCAATTCAAACTGTACGGCTGTATCTTTCAGTAGCGTTCTCGATCCCATATAAGGACATACCATGTTCCGTACGTCGTCCGTTTTGCTGCCACTTACACAGTAAGCTCCGATGGTCTGCTGGCGGAGGAGTGAATTAGCTTCCACTTTAGATTTTATGTTGATACCCCCATCTCCCATCTAGGCCTTCTGGTGGTAATGGCGGTCAAGAAACATACCTACATGTTGCTCGCCCGTTGTCCTATCGCTTGACTTGATTTGCTTTGCATAGGACGGGTGACCCGTCGTTCGACTGCTATTTGTCGCCAGTGTTACGTGCCGAGGGAGGAGTGGAAGCGCTCTGCACTTTGTGGTTTTACTAGGCCACACGGGGTAATTTCTTGGTGTCTTCAGTGGTCGTTCGGATGCAACGTGATGCGTCCTTGGTGCCGGGGCTGGTAGCAACGCATCCGTCACCGCTCATACTCGGCAAGTGCAGTTGAGGTGTCGGTTCAATTTCCTACGTTATGAGACGTGCGTAGCAGGTACGTATCTCCTCCGTTTAGGCACACAGTCATCTTTGGGCCAATTGGTGATCAAGCACCCAGCGTCTGACACCGTACGTGATGGATTTGTCATTGAGACGACAAAGTCCAGACCAATTGGATGTAGTCGACACATTTCCCCATACGATCACATGCTCTACCGTCGGAGTATTGCACAAGCTGGCATTGCACGACTCATAAGGTCCGAAGAATACGAGAATGAGCGCGTAGTGTACCACCATACACTAGTAGCGGTACTTAGGTCCTGGCGTCGTCGGCAAAAAAGGAGTAAAAAAGATTGAGACTGGGCAACAAGTCTTGAGAATTGATACAAACAACAGACGACAGAAACCTAGGTAGGCGCTGGGAAAGTCTCAGAGAGCCTATACGTGCATGAAGCGCATAGTTTCGGTAAGATACGTGATAAACTTTGTTCCGGTACGCTCAGCTGTCGGCTACCTATCCGTACATTACAGTGCTTGGCATGCCGTTCAACATACACTAGTAGGTCACCGTGTTCTACTTGCCGGCAAGCATCTCGCGCTGGGCCACAACCGTTTTCTCAAGGGACTTTCTCTGCTTCACCCATCGTGAAAGGCAGCGCGGAAAGCCCTGGTCATGAATTCGTCCTCAATATATAGCGTCACTACGACGCGACGATGATCTATTCTATCCTGCTTTTCCGGATTTCCATCAATGAGGCCAAGGCATATCCGGTGCTCATTTCCCCAATCTGGCGGAAGGCTTCAGTTCGCTCGAACACTTGGGGCACACGAGCACAAACATATCCTCGCGCTAGACCCTCTCGACGAGGCACCTGAAGGTACCCTGATACGCCGAGCACCCTAACCGAGACCCCACCCTCTCCCCCCACCCAATTTGCCGTCACCACAGTCATCGGTACTCTCGATTCGATCCTCGTCTTGCATCCACCCACCTTTGATGGTGTGTGTGGAGACCTGTGCTCCGTGACGAGATACTCGGCGTCCGTATTCCGCATTCTCGGTACTCCTCCGCGCTGTTGCACGTACAATGCAGTCGCGAGGTACCTAACGGCCGTTCTACACTACTTCAAAATCAGGAAGAGATGCGAGCATGCGGCAGAAGCGCAACTTTTCTCTTCTCTCCGTCTCTCGCAAGACGCTACACGGACAGGACCGCTTGGGTGCGCTGGGAGTTGTCATTTTTCTCTTGCCTCAGGAAGCGGATAACCAAGGTGATAGATCGCCTTAGGGTGCGGAATAGTCCCATCACTGCGTCCACCGGTACTCGCTACACTCGGTGCCGGGTAACGCTGACATCTTTTCCGGCCTATTTGGACAGGTCCCCAGAAAAATGGCGACACAGTACACTAGCGCCCCCAAGATGCTCTACGAGGTACTCGACTCGGCGGAAATACCAGGCTCCGTGTGCCGTTCCGTGAGCTGTTGGTCTTGGACATCTAGTGTACGGAGGCGCCTCGTGGAGCATCCCAATGTCTTCCGCCGCCGATATACAGACTGCTTTCTGCTACGGTACCTACCTAGATGTCTTCTTGCATGGCAGACGGATATCTGCTAGATCCCGCAACAGTTCCATGTCCTTGACGGCTTGACCCCAACCCAGCCAGTCCAGCCGACTCAGGCAGACCAGGCAAGGACCCAGAGCCCAGCTAGCCTTCCCGCCATCCTTGCTGCAATATCCCTTGTTTCCCCTCCAAGAGCTTACTGCCTCAGGGGTTTGAACTTCTTGATGGGGCGGCTCTCAGTGGACAACTCCCCAGACAATTCTTGAATGGTGGTTTGAAGGTAACGGTACCCGAGAGCCTGGTCAAGAGATCTCTACCCCATGGAAATACCCTGACAGGAACCAACCCCCAGTAGCAAGACAAGAGGGAAAGAAGGCAGAGACCAACTTGACACCATACGCCATTTGCATGTGAATAGGAGCACTGAGTGGCATATTGTCAGCTCTTCTCTTCTTGGACATATATCACTCAAGAGGAGGAGAAATTCTTTCAGCCACATTCTCGAAGGATGCAGTGCTGTGTTTCGCAGCGACACTCGAGGTTCACCGCATCGCGTATTGACCATCCGTACAATTTCACAGCGTAGTATTGAGTCGTCAGCACATGCATAAGAGGAAACGGCTTTGCATTGGTCGTCCAATCAGGCGATTTGCCCGAGAAACTTGGGAACGTCGCGACTTTTGCAGTCGAGCGAGGTGTGTGGTAGGCTCTCAACACCCACGGTCTAGGGACAAAATGAGGCCATTATGTTATCACGTAGCCATCCGATCCGAAGTGGTTGCCAGTCAGGCGACGGTTTGGCCCCCTTTTGGCTGCATTCCGCACAGGATAGATCAATCACGGGTGGGTACGAGAACACTTTTCCGCCTACGCACTCCATCGCCGAGAAATCGAAACCCATTGAGGTGCTTTGACCTCATCTCCGGAAGGCTCCTCCATGTCTGGTTACGTATCGATACTTCATCACGAGCGAACGAGCAGTTCGGATAAGTAGCGTAAACCCTTCAAGGCAGATCAAAGCAGTCAGTATCTTGGACGATATCGATCTGGTGGAGGCTCTCGGTTGCTAGGCACATGGAAGTGTAACTGAATTTGCCATCCTGAATGGCTCGTTCTTAGCCCACGTATCCCACCACTCCTACGTACCTCCGCTAGGTGATGATCCCTTTTCGAAAAATATGTTCACTCGAGTGGGTAGTCGGCAATATACACTACCTACCTTCTATGGTTGTACTTCAGCTGCTTACATATTGATACCACAGAGGCGCAAACTGCCTAGTCAATATGTTATGCAGTTGAACTAATGGTATCTCGGATGTTCCGGCGGTATACTACCAGAATTGGCGGCCATCAGTGACTTTTGCACATACCAAAGCCCTACTATGTACATGTCAACACCCTAGTAGCGCGTTTCCTCTTCGAGATGGGACTCGGGATATCGTCCGGTCTAATGATGGTCTTTCCCACATCTGTCCCTCACTCCGTACTGGCAACCGATATAGTAAGGTGTCCGATAGCAAGTAAAACCGACCTGGCCGGAGAAACGGCCAGCGTTCTGCCACAGGTGCCGCTCTCGAGATGCCAAACGTTTCATAGCGTCTTGGAGATAGCAATAGTTCATGTTGTTCAGCAAAGATGAGCCTTTGTAGCCCTCCGATCGCCCACTCGTATCATTGAATTTTACTCCTGACCGGATGTCTCCATCTTCGACAATCGGCGATAACACGGAGGCGACCGTCGAAATTCATGCTAGTGGCCAAGAAGACCACGGAACCGCGCGACTTACATAGTAGACGACGCTTCGGTTGAACGACCAAAAACAACATGACATTCGTTTCACACAGTTTTGGCCGAAGTTACCTCTCTCCGAGACCAGTGATCCTGCAACAATAGCTTGGTTTGAGTTTGGTCTGCTTTTGACCGACAGTTTGAACGGCGCGGTTGGCTAGGCGGTCGGTTTCGCTGATGACACCTTTTCCTCTGTTGTAATCGACTTTCGTAAGTTCGTCGGCGATTGGACCTCGAACAGGAGTTCACCGAACAAGCTGCAGTGTAGAGCACTACAACATCGTTACGTACATTATGCTCAATCTCACTCCAACGGGCAGGAAGCAGCTTAAAAAATTTCGAAACAAGAGAATACTGGTAGTAAGTGGGATGAAGAAGTCACAAAGAACTTGTCTAATTCTTGAATATCTTCAATCTCTTTCTTGGACTGTGGTTCAAATAAACAGAACAAGCACCCTTGTCTTTCCAGGCCATCTCCCCCAACCTGGCGGGCGGATAGGGAGACAAGGACAAGGAAGTTTTTTTATGTCGCCCTGGCAGCCCTGGGGCCGCCACTGCTGTGGTGGTGGTGGTGGTGGTGATCGTGTTGGTGGTGCATCATCTCTTCAGGGGATTATGGAGGTGGGTGGCCTGGAGAGCCTGGGTGGGTGGGTGGATGGATGGGATGGATGGTGGTGCCAGGAGGCAGGCACGATGCTACCTAAACGTTCGCTGGGCAAGCCCCCCCCCCCCCTTCTCCCTGCCTGCCTGCCTGCCTGCCTGCCTGCTCCGAAGAGTTCCTTCCCCCCTTTTACGTTGCCCGATCTCTCGATGTAAATTACATAGGTATCTACCTCTACATACATACATACCTCTCCCTACGTCCACGTACTGCCGGGCTTAGGTATCCTGAGCCACGGTAGGTGGGTGGCTGGATGATTTAGAGGATAAGAGAGAGAAACGAAAGTGTGATGTGAATGGCTGCTGGCTTTCAAATCGATGTACCTACGTATCTCCCTCTCACAGTCTCCCACTCTCTGTATGGGCAACGTGACAATGAACTGCGTCCCTCGATAGGTACTCTCGAAAGAAAAGCACATCGACGACCGACATCCGCACGTATCATCAACACACCACAGTGTGACCCAAGACACATCTTTGCTCGTGAGACACACTCCCACAAACCTCATGTCGTGAAGCCCCAGAAGGAACATGGGTTTGTGGATTCCACACGCGTCATCCATCCCATGTTCTTTCTGCAAAAGCACTCTCGCGCAGGCTGGATGAATATAAGGGTGTATTAGTAGAAGTAGAAGGCGCAGAAATTAAGGACACCAAAAACCGATTGCTAGTATCTAGGACACACAACTCAGACAGGTGGCTGTTTAGAGAGGCTAAATTTGTCACCTAGCAAACTACCCAAGTTCACCGCCCATGAATGCCAATCTATTTGTAGCGACATTAGGGCGAATATGTGTAATTTCTGTATTGTAGTGTGGTTCTACTTCGTTCGGCATGCTTTGACGATGACGGTGGTCAATCTTCATCATGCCTTTCCCCATTATGTCATTTTAGATATACAGCTACCTACCCAGAGTTACCTTACATTGGGGAAACGGGCAGATGGGAGAGGTTCATCATGAACGGCTGGCCACTCAGTCCAGTTTGTATTTGTACCTTCTGGCTCGTCTTTCCTGTTGTGAGAGCGGAAGGCCTCCGTTAATTGTATAGTGTCTTATCATCTCTGACAAGTCCGTCGAGGATAAATTTCGCGTGGCATATTGGTCAGTTCTACAAAAGAATCGACAAGTGACATTGAGTGCCCGAGGCTGGTAAGGGGAGATTTGACGCATGGGCAAAGAGATGATAAAGAGCTTCACAATCCAAGGCCAATGTCTTGTACTTTATTTCATTCTACTTTATTTCAGTGTTTAATATTATTCTTTCCTTCTTTCTTGTGAGAACGTTCTTCAAGTTGGCTCTGGAAACCCTTATTAACATGCTTATTTATCGAGTGTTGACATTTCCACTGTCCCTTACGAGAAGAGGGAGGTAACGGCATCTCGCCGCCGTTATTAAAGCAAGCGTTCGTCGGTGTGTTCATCAAAGACAAACAGGCATCCTGACACCAGGAACACTCACTGATACATAAATTACTACATTACATACGGGCGTATGCTGTAATTGTCTCTGATGCTGAATTGGTACACCTGCTCCTGCGCCGAGGTCGAAAGGCAATGCGCAATAAACCCACAGCATCGAATCATGTACCAAGAGCGTATGAAGCAATGATGAGGAAACAGCTAGAAGATACCTACACATTTGGAATCGGTAACTGATGAAACAAGATTAGGCAGGGATGCGCAATATTCTCGAAAGCGTAGGCAAACAGTTACAGGTAGATGAATTTCATTCCCATCTAACATTGGGGACTGAAAGCGGTCAGATCCTTTCGGTACCCTTGGGAATTGACTTCCCTGCGTCGGCTTAAATCGAAGAGAGAGAAGACGGAAGTGAAAAAAATAGAACATATTTGAATCAATGCCGTTGTGATGAAAGGAAGTACCCTTTGGGAAGTATCAACATGGGTAGTACCTCTAGCCTAGGGGTAGCACAGACGTGGCCAAAATATCAACACAAGAAGAAACCTTGGGGCAGTGGTGTAAGCGAAAGAGCCGAACATTCAGTTCTCCGTTACATAGAGGTACCGTACACTCTCCTCAAAAGACAGGACGTGCGCTATACTGCACCAAACCATGCTCCTTGAATCGCATCAGTGGTCTCGTGATTCCAATCAAAGAATGTCAGCCTTATCCTCTCTCTCTCTCTCTATAGAGGTATATATCTATGGTGGTAGATTGCCTCGTAAGTTTGATTACTTGCGTTAGGTACGCAACTTCACGGGCCAAGCAGGTCACGAGGTAAGTTTGATCCAGGTAGTCTTCCTACCTACATACGTTCATTCCTTCCAAGTCTACCTAGTGAAGCAAGAGCTAGGAACCGCAGCTCGCCGAAGCGCATCACGCCGAGGAAACATTTTCTCATCGGGAAGCCGACGGCGGAAACATGCATGATGTTAATATAGATAAATAACGGGGGAAGGGTTGGCGACAGTACAAATGTAGCAAACATTGCTCATCCACAGAGACTATCTGGCTACATACTACCCGCCCTTTTGTTTCTCCATTGATGGCCACCAGGCCAAAGGGTGGTTGGGGTTGGGATTGATGTCGTCTGGAGATGAGACGGTCACATGCTGTTAGGTATGACACACCGTTGGCACAAAATTTCGAGATGTCGCTATAGACCATAGAGAATCAAAACTGATGACAAGTAATTGAAAGAACAATAATACAAGGGTATGAGGATACAAGGAAGACAGGTAGACTACAGAAAGAACCCCCAGGATCCCATGACCGTATGGAAAGAAGGCGCAGGCAGAGACAAAAGCAGAAACAGAAACAACGGCCGGCGTGCCCTCAAGATCTGGTCGATTTAATCTCACCGCGACCATCCACGGTCCACCTCGACACATTATCCACGCCGGGTCGAGGTACATGTAGGCGAGCGTCTATCCGTCATCTTGTCTCAGTCAATGTAGGTCGCAGACAGACGTACGTAGAGCCCACAAGGAATGAGCCTGATGGAGAAGTGTAAGCGCTTCTATGTGACTAATCTATGCACAGAGGAGACACATTGGGTGTGCCTTAGAGGTGATCATGAAGTGACCCACCCACTACCTACCCTGGATTTCTAATATGGGACAGACATTGTCTAGCGTAAGTGAGTACCTCTAGGTACCTCTAAGCATGGGAGAAAGGGACCGCACTGAGAGTATAGAGTAGGTAACATCACAGTAGGGAGGGCGTAAGTGCAGACCGTGACTGAGTGTTGATTAATGTGGTGATAGAATGAACATTAAGTAGTGAACGTTGATTGAGGATTACCAGTTTCATTTTCCTAGCATCCTCTGCGAAAGTAGGAGACAGATGGGAGTCAACGGTGTTGTCGCGCAGACAAAGATACGTTTGAAGGGCCTTGATTCATCTCCTTGGCCATGTTCCTTATCACTTGACTACATATCCATCTTACCAAACGGAATGTTGCCATTGACTACCTCAACCTGGAAAGCATACCTCCACAAGGACGACCAATGATCAGCTGGCGGTCAGTCGAGTTGTCTGAAGGCTCGTCTAGTCATGGCTTATCAACAGGAACTCGGAATAACCAAGCAGGGATGGCATACAAGACTGCCCATCATGACCTATAAGTCCATCAAGACCAAGGAAGATGAAAGGCAGAGCATAAAATGCTTGATACATCAGCGACCTCGGTGGCTTACCTTGTTGAACTAGGTGATATATCTGATCGGCACGGTTTTGGGTCGTGACCAAACCGGGTGTGAAGTCATTGTTGACGCTCTTGTTGGTCCTTGTGTTGGTCCTTTTAGCTGCCACGTCAGGGAATTGGTAATCTTGAAAAAGTCTAGTACATCTCCTTCGAAAGGGAATGGATAACGGCACTTGAGAGTTGTGAAGGTCCTGATGGTTCATGGTTCGAGTAAAAGTCCATGTGCACTCACCTTGAAAGGCAAAGCACAGCATGTTTGGGACATTTAAACAGGAGAGTTACTTGGGTGGGTAAGAGAAGAGCTGGTTGCGAAATTGAAATGATGATAACTTGTTGAAGAACAGTAGGTGGTCACGATATTTCACAGTGATAAGTGTGCTTGAGAACGTCATGATTAAGAAAGAATGAGATGTTGAT